ACACACACATTAAAATCTGAATAAATGAAAACCAGAGATTCAAATCAAGGGCACGTGGGGAGGACGCGAATGGAATGGGGGTGGGAGGGAGATGGGATCTGCTGTCACTTGATCAACCACCTCCACTGTATTGTTCCCCATTGGGGGGCCCTGGCCAATTGGCACAGCCAGGTTTTTAGGTCCCAACGAAAGAATAGGAGGGTTGCAACCTTCTCAATCACTTCTGACAAGCCAAGTCCAACCGAGACCATAATTTCTATCATTAAGCTAAGATGGTTGTTAAGTATTTAGCATCCAATTTTACAGACTTTTCTTTTGCCCTAAACGTGACACGAAGACAAAAGTCTTGGAAAAAACGAAGGGATGTATTCCACTTTCACTGAAAAAAAACCTCATGATTAAGAATGTTCCAGATCCGCAGACTGTTGAAGTATACTGCAGCTGGAAAGGATAAATGGATAGACAGATAGGAATCAATTGTTCTGTTTAGTCTCATAGCTCCAGTCAGAATTTGGCTTACTTGAGTTCCAGATGGAACATTTTTTTGCAAAGGCACTTTAAAAAAAAAAAAAAGATACAGGTTTTATTTTACCATACAAGTCCCACTTCTTAAATCAAATAATGTTGCAGTTGTATTTAATAATAGTGAAGGTTACCACAAAGAACAAATGTTTTAAGTGTCTGCCAAAGTTACAGAGGAGATATAGATTTCATCTCTCTTTCCCCCAACCAGGAATTAAATTCCTTCTGTTGCTGTTGTTTTTAAGCAGTGTTTAACGATCATCTTTTAGTATCAAGTCTTTGAACAATATATATTTACTTGTATGGTTTAATTATATAGTCTACAGCTGCCGGTATAACTTTGTAGATGTTTACTTACCTATATGTCTCAGCAGAGGTGTTGCCGTTAATTTTTACACAGTAATGGAATTTGATCTATAAAATCAGAGTGGCACAAAAGAATAATAATTAGAAATAATATATAAAAATGGCTGTGTGCATGTATGTTCCAGCATAACTCTGGAACGCCGTGAGCAATTTCAACCAAACTTGGTACACAGATGACTTACTCTCTGGAAGCAAATACTGTAGAGGTTGGACACCCCAACACCCCTCGGGAGGGGGGGAGTGTTCTGTTAAGATACAGCCTGTTGTGCCATAAAATGTCTTCTACTGTACAGCGCAGTGGAGTTGCCATGGTAATGGCTTCATACTCCACAAGGGGGCTCCCTCTGGTAAGGGGAAAATCCAACATTAGAAATCCGGTCTAATACAGGATTAGGATAAATAAATACCTGAGCAATGTCGGGTTATCAGCTAGTAAAAAAATATAGAGAATGACCATAATAGGGGAAGCACAGTCTTCAATTGGTACCACTTTGAATCGGTAGTCCTTGGTTTACGACCACATTTGGGACCAGAATTTCCATTGCTACACAAGGGAACCTGAAATTGCCATCTTTTTTGCCTGGGTTCTTAAACAAATCACTGTAGTTGTTAAGTGAAGCATGTGGTCATTAAATGAATCCAGCTTCCCTCGTTGATTTTGGTTGTCGGAAGCCTGATGGGAAAGACACAAAATGTTCATCATGTGACTAAGGGGAAGCTTAGTGAGAACTGGCCCCAAATTGATTGTATCATTATAAGTCAAGGACTCCTTGTATTGCCCAGTAACTGTTTTATTATTTACATTATTTATTATTTTTGAATTTAGTATTTTAGGCAGAAAACCTTCCCAAGCACACCTGGAGACAGCAACACACCTGAACTTTGCACAGAAACTATTCAGCTGTTACCTCAAATGAGGTGTGTCTATATAGAAAGGATTCTCACCCAGGAAATGCAATTTTATATCCCAAAATGCACCCTCAGATCTGAGTTATATTCTGAAAATTTTAGCAAAACTGTGGCTTAATGTGACATGAAACAAATGTTGCATAAAAAACCCACAGCCACATACTTTGTATTCGATCATGCTCACTAGTGTTTGATAAGATTTGCCCTTTTTACTAAATAAAATTATTTAAAAATAGGAGAAACAAGTTGAGGTTGGATCTGGTAACCAGGTTTGCCTCAGAGATCAGGATACAGGATCTTTTCCCTTCCTATGTAGGCAGCTTCTTAAAACTTGTTGCAGATTTTTTAAAGTTGGAAGGTAGTCATTTAGTCCTGAGGAAACCTGAACATAATATTTAGTAAATCATAGTGCAGGGGAATCTCTTACTGTTGTGTGCACGAGGCTGATCCTATGGATGAACTGTTTCAATGTGATGCTGTCTTCCTTCAGGATTTCAGATTTCTCACACAGCTGAAAAGGCCAAAGAGAGACAGGGAAAGTTAACGTGTTCTTTTCAAAACCTTTCACTGAAGTTTTATTGCGCCCCTTCAGTCATTAAACTTTTCAATTCTCCCATCCCTTGGCATGGCCACTAGATCCAAAGCATTAACCTGAACACCAAAGGTAAATGAAAACAGCACCCTCTTGTTTCAAACATGATGTGTTCTGTCAGATTTGTGGGACTGATGCTAAAATGTTCAGATTCATTTAGCTGCGTTTGAACAGTTTTGGGAAAAACACACATACATACGTGTCTGTATCTAATGCAACTGTGGGAATTTCTTTTTTAACTCGTTTTATTCAGAATTTCTATCCATAGTCCCCAGATCGTAGGATAAGCAAGAATCTAGGGCAATGCCTCCATTACAACACTGCATTTCCACTTGTGCTAGAAACATTACTGCATTCTAACTTTTGTTCTGGCTGTTTGAAGAACTATTTTCCCCCTGTGGATCTTAGAGATTCTTCGCTTGTTATTGTGCACACAAGATGAAGGACATCCTCCAGAAAAATAGAGGCATAAGCTCTATAATTAATCACTTTTTTTCTTGAGAGGGTCACGGGTCAACTCCTGATCCCTGATCCCTTTCTCTCTCTGGAAACATAACTTTTAAGAGATCACCCACCAAGAAATTCCACGATAGAGAGTTTTATAATCCTCTGATGGTTTCCACCCCAACCCATAGCTGCAGCTACTGCAGCTGCTATTGCAAAACAGGTAGTCCTTGATTTATAACCATTCATTTAGTAACTGCTCAAAGTTACAAGGACACTGGGGGAAAAATGACTTACAACAGATTCTCTCACTTACAACTGTGACAACATCCCTAGAGTCATATGATCGAATTTCGGGTGCTTGGCAACCGGCATGTATTTACAATGAATGCAGCATCCCAGGGTCACATGATCACCTGCCCAGGTGGCTTCTGACAAGCAAAGCCAAGGGGATGGGGACCGGATTTGCTTAATGGAGCCGAGGTGGCGCAGTGGTTAGAGTGCAGCACTGCAGGCTACTTCAGCTGACTGCAGTTCTGCAGTTCGGCTGTTCAAATCTCACCGGCTCAAGGTTTACTCAGCCTTCCATCCTTCCGAGGTGGGTAAAATGAGGACCCGGATTGTTGGGGGCAATATGCTGACTCTGTAAACCGCTTAGAGAGGGCTGAAAGCCCTATGAAGCGGTATATAAGTCTAACTGCTATTGCTATTGCTATTAATGACTACATGATTCACTAAACTGCTGTGATTCTCTTAACAAACGTGGCAAAAAAAATTGGGCATGATTCACTTAACAACCATCTTGCTTAGCAATGGAAAACACGGTCCCAATTGTTGTAAGTTGAGGGCTACCTATAGTAATGACCCTATGTTAAATGCGAATATTGGTTTAGCTTTACTTTGTTACAGCAGTAACAAAGTCAAATGGATTGTAGATTTGTGAGATAGATAGATGATAGATAGAGAGAGAGATAGAGAGATAGAGAGATAGAGAGATAGAGAGATAGAGAGATAGAGAGATAGAGAGATAGAGAGATAGAGAGATAGAGAGATAGAGAGATAGATAATAGAGAGATAGATAGATGGACAGACAGATGGATGATAGGTAGATAGAGGATAGACAAATAGATAGAGATGGATAAAGGATAGAAATATATATAAATCTTTCCCCTGTTTACAACCCAGATTTCATCAGTGGTGAAAATGATGTCCTCAACCATTTTGGAACAGATTCTAGTTCTCGAGTTTGAACAACTGTTCTACTCAACCTTGTTCTGAAAGGAAGTCAACAGAAAGAACAGCTGCAGTTGTTTTTCTTTGGTGCCTGTGAAAACTGGCACTGGGAAAGGAATGAAGATTTTGATTCTAGAAGAGCTTCCTCAGATGTTTGGAGGATGCTGAGAACAGATCATCCAGGCAAAGAGGACAGACATTAACCGTCACAAACCAATTAAGTGAACTCATGGTCTCCTGCAAACTCCCCTCCCCTTTCGATCCTTTTTTATTTCCTCTGGGAGGGGCCATTCATCGTCCACCTGTGGCCTTACTCCCAAGGCGACCCCTGTTTTTTAGCTCTTCCCTTCCTCAGGCAGCTCTGAGCGTGTGCACACTGGGAACAGGCTCCAGATGTTCATCTGCCCCACTGATGTCTGACTCCGAAGGCAGCTGATAACTGTCAGACGGCTCTGGCCCCCTCTCTGCCTCCGACACAGATTCCTCCTCAGAGCCTTCCCCAGACTCCAGGACTGGCCCATATTCCTCCCCAACCTCCTCACTGTCTGAATCTACTGCCAGGCCAGGCAGGCCACAACACTTGAGAAGGGGGTTTGACTAGAAGACCTCCAAGGTCCTTTCCAGCCCTATGACTCTAATAAGGCTCATTGTGGTATAGACTAACCTGAAAGGAAAGCTGAAAAGGCATAGTAAGCAGAGATTCATGAGGACATCCGCTTCCGTGCAGGACACCAACCTGGCAGAAAGGCAGTAAGCTTTCTATTTCTGTGGAAGGAAAAAAAAAACTGCTAGGAGACAAACACTGCAAGACAATCAAGGAATTCCTGCTCTCCGAACAACAGGGATGAATATTTAAGATTCCCTTCTATCAGTTGATACAAGAAAACAAGCTGAAGCAAGGAGGGTTATATGAGCCTTTTAATATACAAGCAGTCCTCAACTTAAAATTATTTGTTTAGTGAATGTTTGACATATGATTGGTCCTTGCACTTATGACCATCACAGCATCTCCATGATCATGTGATCAAAATTTGGGCGCTTGGCAACCGATGTGTATTTATTTCCCAGCTGGCTTCCGACAAGCAAGGTCAGTGGGAGGAAGCTAGATTTGCTTAACGGCCCTAGGACTCACTTAAAAACTGCAGTGATTTGTTTAATGATGTGGCAGTAAAGATCATACAATCATGTGAAATTCATGTTAACAATCACCCTGCTTAGCAACAGAAATTCTCCGCTGGTCTGATCCACCAAAAGCACTTTTAATCTGTAATAATATTATTTATTTAAGCCAATTATGGTTCTACGCTGTTTCCCCCAAAATAAGGTATCCCCGGATAATAAGCCCAATCGGGCTTTTGAGTGCATGCTCTAAAATAAGCCCTCCCCCCAAAATAAGCCCTCCCCAAAAATATTGCAACACAGCAGCAGCCATGAGGTGACCACGCTCGCCACCTCAAAAATAATAAGACCTCCCCAAAAATAAGGCCAAGTGCTTATTTCAGGGGTCAAAAGAAAATAAGACCTTGTCTTATTTTTGGGAAAACATGGTAAGTCAAAGACTACCTGTATATACACACAAAAATGCACACATAAATGTTTGTTTAAATGTATTAGCTGCCCAACTCCAAAAAGGTTAATCAAAAGGCATTAATCAGCCAAGATGTAATGTTGCCTTTTCCAACTGATATTCTGAAAAATGCCTGTAGAGAAACGGTCATGAAATGGTTGAAGGAATGAATCAGAGGAAACTTGGAGCACCTTTTCTGACTAACAAATTTTATTAAAAGGCATAAGATTTCATGAAGTGAGCTGCAGCTCATAAAAGCTTAGGCCTTTTATTAAAATTTGTTTAAAAGATCTATCAGATTCCTCCTGGTTTGGGGCTAACATAGACTGACCTGCCTCTCCTCCTACAATGTCCACAGTGCAGCTTGAACTTCATATCCATTCAGATATCTCAAAACCCATCTATTCCTATTCCGATATTGTATTGTATTGTATTGTATTGTATTGTATTGTATTCTATTCTATTCTATTCTATTCCCTATCCTATCCTATCCAATACTATTCTATTTTCCATTCCATTCCTCTCTTCTCTCTCCTCTCCTCTCCTCTCTATTCTATCCTATTCCATTCCATTCTATTCTAGTGTATGAGCCACTGTGGCACAATGGTTAGAGTGCAGTACTGTAGGCTATTTCTGCTAACTGCCGGGTGGGGTAAAATGAGGACCTATATTGTTGGGGTGCAATATGCTGACTCTTTAAACTGCGTAGAGAGGGCTGTAAAGCACTATAAAGCGGTATATAAATCTAAGTGCTATTGCTACTGCATTGAATCTCTTTTTAAGAAGTATGTAAGTATAAAATAAAGTAAAACAAAAATTAATGAGGTCTTAATCTTTTTGCTTTAAAAGATTATCAATTTATTTAATCATCAGAGCTCTTATTCCAATTCCAACTTCAATAATGAGGACACAACTCAAATGCAACAGAATCTCCTCAGGAAATATTCAGAAGTTGGATGAATTCATATATTTATTAAAGTTATAAAAAGATTTGTTTTGTTCTGCGGGACCTGGTCAAAATGTACCAGTGGCCATGAGAACTGAATGCTGGGCTGGATTAACTTAAAAAGCCCTTTTTAAATCTCCAATAATGTCAAAATATTTACCTTTGAATGTTAGGTCACTGAGGAGTTTGCGGCATAAATCACCTTTTGCAGCAACTGCACGGAACAAATAAAAGAACTGATGTTATTAATTTTGTTTAAGTTTGTGGCAAGGCTAAATTTGAGCTGTTGTATTTGTGCTCAACCCAATTGTAGGAACATAAACTTACACCTTAAATTTATTTATTGGGAATTGCATATTATATGAATATGGGTAGACCTTGATCTATGATCACAACTCATTATTATCATTTAACGACTCCATAATCCCTTGGGGGGGGGTAGAGTCTGGGTAATTGAATGGAGTTAGCAGAGCATTTTAATGACCAGATGCCCTTCCTGTCACCAATGCAGAGTTTTGTTCAGCAGATATATTCTCATTGTGCCCAGAAAGAGAAATATCTGCCTCTACCTAGGATTGAACTCACAGACTCCTGATTGTGAAGCAAGAGCTCCACCTCTAGGCCACCACACCACTCTGCTGACCACAGATGAACCCCAAATTACCTCTGCGAAGTAAGGCGGTTGTAAAATGAGTTGTGTCTCATTTTATGACCTTTCCCCCCACGATTGTTTAGTGAATTATTACAGTTGTTAAATACATCTCGCTGGGACAGTTACAAATGTTGATCACATGACCTAGGGACAGTGCAACCGTCATAGATACATGCCAGTTGTCAAGTGCCCGAATTCTGTTCACGTGGCTATGGGATGCTGCAATGGTGGTAAGTGTGAAAAATGGTCATAGGACACTTTGTTCAGTGCTGTTGTAACTTCAAACAGTCACTAAATGAATGATTGTAAGTCAAGGACTACCTGTAGATTTTAAATGCCACCTGAAGGGTCATTTGCCTAGTTTCTATTTTCCTAAAAAATAACCACTCTGAAAGAAATTTAAGTCTGAATTATACTCACTAATTGCAGCACAGTGCAACTGGTTCACCCGCTGGGGAGAATCTTGAATGTCCAAAGAAACGGCAATTGTTCCTTCGAGCATGGAAGATCTTTCGCTCTGTTCCCCCTTTTCACCTTGAAGTTGTATGATTAGAAATTCTAAAATCTGAAAGCAAAGAAAGGATATGGTAAATTAGCAGACAAAATTTGTAGATATCCTATTCTGTCTTGAGAATCAAGAGTGTTCCTTACGTCTTCATTTGTGAACCTCAAAACTAAAACTATAACTATCCTTGAAATGGGAGGGCTGATTGTATAAACCGGACTGGTGATGCTAGAAATTGAACAATAAATGGAGGCATCGATTTTGCTGGTTTTTGGTTACCCTTCTTGTAGCGTTTTTCAATGTTCCAATCTTAAACCAATTCTACAATTTTGGATTTCTTTAACAATTCTTTCCTTTTATCATCGTGATTCCATTTTGCGTAGTATATTAGCCAACTAGTAAATTTCTAATTTCCCAAATATGGCTTTCTTCTAAAAGATGAGAAAAAAATAGTTTGTTATTGTTTCGTTGTTTTTAAATTCATCTGTTTGTCTCCATCCAGCCCCTTATTCTTACAGAATTATTACTGAGGGAAGTTTATTAGGTTGGTTTGCTTCCTGAAAGCCATTGAATTATAAGGTGCTCTTAACCTTATGTTGTAAAATGGAAAGTGGCAAGCAAGAGAAGAAAGGGAAATGTTTCATAAATAACAGGAAATAAAGAATGCTTGGGAAAAACACAAAGGCAAAGCACACAGGATGTAAAACATGAATTAAAATCTCTCCTTGCAAAATCCTAGCAACGTTATTTTCTGCTTCACAAAAATGTCACTTCAAGTAGGATATCATCATAATGTCAAAATGTTTTGTTATTCCATGTTTCATTTTTTTTAGTAGGAAAGAAAAGGAATGAAAAGACGCTATGGATGCTATGGATGCACCCTTAAATTTATTTTATTGGAAAATGGAATGAATGAATGAATGAATGAAAGAAAGAAAGAAAAATGGAAACAAACTACGGTAGATAAGTCTTGGAGAAGTTCAATCTGGGTTACTTCATCACTTTTTTCTTCTTAGAGTTATTCCACAACTTACAACCATTCATTTAGTGACCATCCAAAGATACAATGGCACTGATAAAAGTGACTTATGACCATCCTCACATTATGACTGTCACAGGGTCGCTCCATTCATATAATCAAAATTTTAGCACAGCATGGATTTATGATGGTTACAGCATTCCAGGATCATATGATCACCAACAGTTCATTTACTGGCTGCTCAAAGTTAGAACATTGCTGAAAAAAATTGACTTATGATCATTTCTTTCACACCTACGACTGCTGAAGCATCGCCATGATCACACTTGGCAACTGACTTACATTTATGATGGCTGAAGTGTCCCAGGATCATGTAATCATCTTTTTTTGACCTTCTGACAAGCAAAGTCCATGGGTAAACCACATTCACTTTAACGGCTGTGGAATTAACTTAACAACTCCAATGATTAACATTTGTGACAAGAAGGGCCGTAAAATGCGGCAAAACTCACTTACTTAGCAACATAAATTTTGTGCTCAGTTGTGATCTTAAGCCGAGGACTACCTGTATACTAATGTATATGGTAATTGTTAAAATTAAGAAAGACACAGCTGTACAACTGGTCTGGAATCCATAGACTCAATATCTCTCATTATTCCTGACTATTATTATTCAAAGAGGGATGTGGTGGCTCAGTAGCTAAGACACTGAGCTTTTCGATCAGAAGGTCAGCAGTTTAGCAGTTCGAATCCCTAGCGCTGTGTAACAGAGTGAGCTCCTGTTTCTTGTCCCAGCTTCTGCCAACCTAGCAGTTGAAAAGCATGTAAAAATTCAAGTAGAAAAATAGGGATCACCTTTGGTGAGAAGGTAACAACGTCCCATGCACCTTCGGCGTTTAGTCATGCTGGCCACATGACCACCGTCTTCGGACAGCGCTGGCTCTTCGGCCTTGAAACAGAGATGAGCACCGCCCCCTAGAGTTGGGAATTACTAGCATATATGTGCGAGGAGAACATTTACCTTTACCTATTATTATTCATAATGACTAAGACTGATGAGAGGTATAGTTCCAGAGTATGAAAAGATTTTTGTCTCCAATCTTTGTTATGTTTAAAAGAATCAATCTCATATCAATACCTTTTACCCCTACTTTATCTGTGGAGCTTTCTTAAACTAAGTTAGGACATTGACCTACTAATTCTAGTACTGTATTTGTATGGCTGTGATTCTTGGTTCCATGAGAATTTATTTTAGTTATTTTATTTCATTTTTAGCAAAAGTGAACAAGGATCTCAGTCTTTCCTGCTAGCTATAAGCTTCTTCCTTGTCTTATTTTTTAAAATCCTGGTTTTTTTTCTTTCCTTAGGAAGGAAAAATGGGTCTTGTGACATTCTGTGAAGGCATCCCCAGACTGTTTCTATTTTCATAACTTTTCAGATTTATAAAGAGGTCAAGATCTGGGATAGGCTGTTCCACTATTAAAATAAGATGTATGGCACCAAGAACTCTATCTTTACATTATCCAGATGTTTTGAAAGATGTGGAACTGGTTTGGATGCACACACAAAAATAAACACTTTAGTTCCAGATTGCCTGACATGACCAAAGAAGGATAGCCAGTTACAGCTTGCAAATTGCATATCTGGTTTCCCAATATCTGAATAGGAGAAATAGTCTGCAACCCAGGAGCTATTATCTTCTCTTTGCCTTTGATCATATAATTAATCAAGATAAGTAATGTTGTTCTTAATGTGCTTATGCTGGCCATCTGGTTAGACAAGGTGATGGCTTTTTAAAGGAAGAGAAGAATCCATCTGTAGCAAAAATACTTTCAGTATGTCAAAATAGATCACTGAAGCTGATGACCATTGGGGCTGCTTCATATTGTTATTATTATTAAAGGTAAAGGTTACCCTCACAAATATGTGTTAGCCGTTCCCAATTCTAGGGGGCAGTGCTCATCTTCATTTCAAAGCCAAAGAGCCAGCGTTGTCCAAAGACGTCTCCATGGTCATGTGGCCGGCATGACTAAATGCCAAAGGCACACGGAACACTGTTGCCTTCCCACCAAAAGTGGTTCCTATTTTTTCTACTTGCATTCTTATGTGCTTTCAAACTGCTAGGTTGGCAGAAGCGGGGACAATTAATGGTAGCTCACTCCGTTACACAGTGCTAGGGATTTGAACCGCCAAACTGCTGACCTTTCTGATCGACAAGCTCAGCGTCTTAGCCACTGAGCCACCACATCTCTTGTTATTATTATTACTGGCCCATCATACTGTACCAACCACTCCAGGGTGAATTGAAAGGGCTATATTCAGCTAGTTTGGTCTAATAAGGCACCAGGCTAGAAAGCAGGAGACAATGAGTTCAAGTCCCAACATAGCTATGAAAGCTAGCTGGGTGTAGACAATCACCCTCTCTCTCAGGCCAACCGACCTTACAAGGTTGTTGTTGTGGGGTAACTAAGCGGAAGAAGGTGTGTTGGATATGTTCTCCACCTTGAATAAAAACAATAAAGCAGGAACAAATTATATACACACTAATTTATATTACTAATTAGCACCAGTCCTTGACTTATGACCACAATTGGGACAGGAATGTCCATTGCTAGAGGATATAGTTGTAACATGAGTTATCATGTGACCATACCTGATTTAACCACCTTTTTTTGCTGCCTGGTTAAGTGAATCCATGAGGCAACTGGACTTTCTTCTTATTCTTGGAAGACGTTTCGCTTCTCAAATAAGAAGCTTCTTCAGCTCTGACTGGATGGTGGGGAATGGAATTCCTTGCAGACAGTTGGAGGTTTGTCTAAGTCCCCCCAGGGTCACCTGAGTAGTGCAAATGGATGTTGAGCTTTCCTGGAATAGCAATAGCAATAGCAGTTAGACTTATATACCGCTTCATAGGGCTTTCAGCCCTCTCTAAGCGGTTTACAGAGTCAGCATATCGCCCCCACAGTCTGGGTCCTCATTTCACCCACCTCGGAAGGATGGAAGGCTGAGTCAACCTTGAGCCGGTGAGATTAGAATCGCTGAACTGCAGATAACAGTCAGCTGAAGTGGCCTGCAGTACTGCACCCTAACCACTGCGCCACCTCGGCTCTTAAAGGAATGGTAATGCTTCCCCTCGCACAT